ATCTCTTGACCTCGTGATCCACCCGCCTCGGCCTCCCAAAGTGCTGGGATTACAGGCTTGAGCCACCGCGCCCGGCCCGGAAACTACATTTTCAGGCTCCAAGTCATTGGGATTCTGGCTGGGTTCGGTCAGTGGGAGGCACTGACAGGCAGTTGGAGGACAGCAGGAAGGCAGAAGCCACTATATCCTTCTTCCCTCTCTGCTCTTGCCAGTGCATCTGCAGCTGTTCTGTACCTCCGGTTTCCACAGGAGAGAGTCATTGTGATTCTGATTCCAGAGGATGTCCATGGTCTGGGGACCTTGGTCACACTGCCTCTTCCCCATGTTCATCCAGCTGGAGGCAGTAATGACTCCCTGCTCTTGCTAATCCATAAGTCTTCTCAACATCCCTTGTTTGGTTTTCATCTTAACCAATTATCTGCATTAAATTCCTCCCTTTTTACATTCTTGAATAGATTCTGTTTTGCATAATCTGATAGTAACATGCATATATGCTTTCATTAATTTGCTCTCCCACCAAAGGATCTGCACCCACAGGTTGACAACACTGGCCTATAGAAGAAAATTTGAACTCCTTGGTATAGTATTCAAAGCTTTTCTTGAACTCATCCCTGCATATCCCTCAGGCCTCATCTCTCCTGACAGCCCAAAATATGCCGTCCACTTCGGTCATTCTGCCTCCCTTCCAATTCCAGCAAAACCTGAGTCTTTCTCATGCCTCTCTGCCCTCCCTGTTTTAAACCGGGAAGCCTTTCAGGTATCCCAAACCCCTGTGCTCACTTCTAATGCTGCAGGTACCACACGCCACCTTGTGACTGTTTTGCTTTGTTTATCCACCACAGCTATCTCTTTGAAGACAGAACCTGGACCTTCTTCCTCCATTGTTGAATCCCCAGCACACTATCTAGTACATTATAGGTACTCCAATTTGGCAGAACAAATATAAAGCTAAAGGAAAGCACAATTTTATGGAATAACCAATGTCAGCAAAATGGAAAGTACAATTTTGATCCTTTTCTTTACTGAAGACAACTACCTATGTAGGATTCTTTGCTGTGACATATATCCATATGTTTATTTTCTGATTATTAATCAGATAACTACTTATATAAAAAAATTGTCCTGAGACTTTCTTAAATTAATTCCTGATTATGACATTTTTAAATTGTCAGTATACCCCATAAAAAACACCTTTCTTTCTCAAAGATTTCTGGTCCTCCCACTCTCTCTCCTTCTCTCCATTTCTCGTGCTTTTTCTTTTCTTTTCTTTCCATCTCTTTCCTTGTCTCTCCATCTCTCACCACTCCTCCTTCCATAGAAGCCTTACTATACAGAGAGACATAGTAGTTTCCATGTACTCAAGTGTTTGCTCTACTGATGTATTCCAGCTCCCTCTGCATAAATTTCAAATAGAATGCTCAAAGGAGCCCCAGCCTTCTTTCACATGTGCCTCCATTCCTTCGTAATTAGGGAAAACTGAAACCAGCCATTCAAATCTTGGAGTGTATATTTGAAAGGCCACACCATTTCCCCTAGACTAAGAAAGAGACTGATTTCAGAGTACAGTTACTGAATCCTGACAAGCCATGTACAGAATTGGAGACTCCAGGAGGCTGCAGTTTGTAGGTTGTACCTGACTAAATTGAGAGGAAGCATGAGATTGAAGGATACTAGGAGAAGTATACTTGATTTATTGACTTGCTTTGCTTTTTCTTCTCAGTCTTGCTTTATAAATTTTGAAGCTCTTTTACTTACAACTTCCCTGTCGGAACGGTTATTGATCTACAAGCTATTAGCATATAGACAGTATTAGTTGTGCTTAAGCAGGCTACTGGCCTTCAGCCAGGTCAAAGCATTACCCTAGAGCAGAAAATGCATCATTTCATGACAGCGCTTCTGGAAAGTGGAAGAGGAAAACGGTACGCAGAGGAAATTGCCATCAAAAGCACACGAAGGAAACAGCAAGCAGACAAGTGAATAACCTCTCCTTGATATAAGGCAAAATTAGATATTTACATTATTTGACATTTGAAGAGAACTTTCACTGGTACAATTTTCCTGAATAAGGGAATCCTTAGAAACTTTGTTATAGAAACATTTCTTTGAAGAACAGGAAAAGAGTTTCAGGGCTTCCCCCAACACCCCACCACCCAAGATTCAAAGAATTTCAAATTATTTGTGTCAGAGACCAGTTCATGCTTTGAGGCGATATTTAAATCTGTGGTGTCTTTTTGCAACAGTATTGTCACAGGTTGGCCAAGGTAAAGCTAGACATCTTATCAAGAACAATGTCTTCCAGAACATTTTTTTCTAGGGAAAAACATCTCAGAAATCAATCTCAGAAATCAAAAGCCCTGCATTTGCCTACACTAATTAGTTCTAGGGATGGGTTTGAAGGAGAGGGAAGAAGGGAAGTTTCAAGAATGCAGTATACAAGACATGATTCTTTGGCTAATCAGTAGAAAGTTGAAAATATTTACCAAAGACAGTGGGAATCCTTTCTTAGGAAACAGCATCTCCATTTCATGTTACTGAATTTTAAATGATGTGTACCTATTGCAAAAAGTCTTAAAGGTTTTAGTGCCTCCTTTCCCTGCCACCAAAAGCTACTGCCAGTGGGTGAGCCTTTCTGATGAAAAATGAACAAACGCTAAATGAAGATGTCTCTTCTTGAACAGCTTTGGAGAATCCAGTAGGACCTTCTGCTTTAGACAAATGTTTGATTTTTAAAGAGGCAGGAACAATAACAACTCACCGTTCTGGAAAGATAATAATCTATCTCAAAGAAGGGTCAAGGAAATAGTAAATAATCTTCAATGGAAAAGGGAAAATCTAACGAAAGTAGAAAATGGGGATGGTATTACATACACCTTCCAAACCTCCACCTCCCGCCTAAAGGAGGAGGAAAAAGTCCATACACTCATGGAGACCCCCTCGCGTTCCTCTTCTTAGGAACCGAACGCTCCTCTAGGGATATTCTTGTTCCCAGGAGGTGAATCAGAGTTAGGAATTACACTTACTGCCAAGACGCGGAAACAAGATGTGGGCGAAGGGTCTGTCCGATGATGAGCCAGCAGACCCGGAGAGGGCCCTGGAAGGTCCCCAAAGCAAGTCCGGTTCCGTCCGCTCCTAGGGTCCAGGACAGCCCGCGCTGCGCGGTCAGGCAGCTGGAGCAGTGCGAGCGGCTGGGTGGCTGGCGCTGCCGGCTCTGCAGCCGACCTCTCCGGCCACGCGCGCCTGGGCACCGCACTCACCCGCGGGGTGGGCGGGTGAGGGTGGGAGGATCAGAGATGGGGGCGTGGGGAGGGGGGCAATCCCTACCCTTAAAGACGAGAAAACAGGTGCAGAGGCTACAGGGTCTTGCAGAGGAGGGAACTGGAGGAGAAGTTTTGGTGGTGAGGGAGCAGGAACAGTGTCCAGGTTCTCTCGGCTGCCTCCCGGGCTTGGAAGCCCGCGCAGCTGGACCGTACCCAGAGCGGCGCCCCCTCGCGGGTCCCCAACCACCACTTGCAGCGGCTGCTGTCACCTACTGTGCCTCCTTCAAGTTTGATGCTCTGGGGGTTCGCACCACCCCTACTTCCCTCCCTTCCACGAACCTCTCCCTTTGCTCTCTGCTCCCCAGTTCCGCGGGAGATGGACCGGCGAAGACAGACCTCCTGGACTTGAGGCCGAGTTCACCAAATCGGCCCGGGGAAAAGGCGAGGGCAAAGGCGAAGGCAAACGCGGGGAGGACAGACCCAGCTGAGGCCGAGGGGCTGCGGTCCCTAACAGGGCTGGCGAGCGAAGGAGACCTCAAACTGGCGGGAGGAGGGCCAGGGCTGCAGCATCCGCGCGCCTCTTAGGGGCTGAGAAAATTCCACAACTTCCAATCGAGAGTTGTTTTCTTTTGTGTGTGTAGGAGCAGAGATGGGGAGCTGGATCCGCGCCGTACCACGGGAAAGCGCCAGCAGCATTGCACCGAGAACAAATCCTCCGCACTCTCGCCCAGGGGTGGGCGCAGTACGCTGGTGCTCCTCTAGCTGGGCGGTCCCTGTGCTCCAAACCAGACGGTGAAGCGAGTTCAGATCCTGCAGCCCATTATCAGTAATTTCCCTAACAGGTGTCTGCAGACAGTTTACAAGTTGGGTAGTGCAGATTCAGAGTCGATAGCCAGGAATTTGTGTTGTGCGCTCTGGCTCAGAGCAAAAGCTAGGATACAGATAGGATAGGAAAGCTACGGGACACAGATAAAACACAATCTCGCTTTGTCCTGATAGCTGACTTCCGATCCTTCACTCTTGGATCCTGACCCAAGCCACCAGGAGCGTTTGCCTCTGGAATACTCGCTCCCGGCTCCTTGCGGTGAAGCCTTCCGCTAGCGCCCAGGGCCTCCCATGCTGAGTTAGTGGGTAGGAGCAAAACAGGATGGTGGAGACGATCAGCAGAGCAGCAGCGTCTGTTTCCTCGGGATTCCTCCCAGGAACCCTATTCGAAGCCGTTCCTTCTGAAAGTTTGCAGCCAGTCTTTCTTTCCTTTGTTCATTTCTAGAGGAGGCAGTAGAGCTACCGACATAAAAAAGCAAAAGCCTGAAACTAGTAACCTAAGTCTTTCCGTAACCATCCTTTGCACACGTTACTTTCCCTCTATGCACTGTCATTTCTGAAATAAGGGTGGTCATACTGGTGAGCTTGGAATGTCCCTGAAATATACCCCCAAATGATTAGATTAAAATTAGATTCCTCTACTCTGAAACAAAATATGTATATATTTAGCTGTTAAAAAAGGTAATATGTATTCTCCAAGATGTGAATTAAAGGCTTCCTTCAAATGGATTGGATTTTCGATCCCTTCAGGGTTTTCCCACACCCTAATAGTATTGCATTTGTGAGGCATTTTTACACAAGGTAATCTGAAATTAATCTTCAGTTACTATAGAATTATGCTCACAGGAATATAGGAATTATTTATAAAACAAAGAAGCCCAGGCTTTTCAAATTCCTAGAAATAAAGGTACAGAATTGGAAATATCTAACGTGTTCTACACAGTTCGACTTAAAGTCTTTTTGCAGCATTTGTTTTTTCTGTAAGAGAGTACTCTTTGCCCAAATATGTGTCATATGTGGCAGGTTCCATTTTTCTTAATATATCTGCATTGGTAAAGAATGAACTATATACCAATAAGTTATAACTTTAAAAGAGAAGTGCATTTAAACAATAACCATAAAAACAAATCAAACATCCAGGAAAACAGATGAGTGTTGTCTTTTAGAGCAATTTCTTTGGAAAATTCAACTGATTTCACTGACATTGATTGCACAAAACATATTTTGCCTTCTTTAAAATTGCCTTTCAAAAGTGTCTTAGTGGCCATAAACAAATATTTGTCTCAGTCTCTTATAAACATGTATATTTGTCTTAGTAGATTCATATAGTTTCATAGACATCTGGTCAGCAACCTCAAAGGAGTAAATTATCTCTATGATTAATTGTCCTTTAATAAAGTTCAGAATTGGCTGAGAAACTGATAAACTGAAATTGAAGTGGCTTTATAGTGTATCATATCATCAAGGATAGCTGTGGGAATTAGTTTATGACAGCTTCGTGCCTCACAGTCTAATTAATATCCTTAAATGTGCGTGCATATCCTGTGTACTGCAGTAACAACAAACCACTATGATGAATGTCCATAAACCCAATCATGATATGGATAGGAGTTTGGGAGTTTGTGGAAGTGGTGGTGAAATATCCATTAATCCAAATTGAAATAGGACAAGATTATTGAGGTTTGATTTCTTTTGTATCAAATTATGTAGTTGCTCAGGAAATTCTGTATCTAACCAGAATATGTGCTGACTGCTCTTTAAATAGAGAACAGACTCAAACTCAGATGCCTGCATGGTTAGGGCCAATGACATAAATGAACCAGCAAGCCAGGTTGTAGGAGAGAGTGTAAAATGGTGGTCTCTATAACACCTTGAAGAGCACAAAAGCGCATGCCATAGCTGAATGGGGAGATTGCTTCTCAGATTACACTCAGCTGCCCTGCAAAAATCTCTATTCAATATTGTCAGATTTGATTTTTAAGACAAAATCCAAATTGTTAAAAACCTTCTGAATTTTAAATGAAGAAAATTAATTTTAAAAAGTCAACACTCCTAGTGGATAGACCAAAATAAATAAGAAATCATAGATAAATAGAGAGAGACAGAGAGATGGAGAGACAGATAAGTAGATAGATAAATAGATAGATAGATAGATGGATAGATAGACAGCAGCCTGTCTCATGGTCCTCCGATATTGTAGCCTGTGATATTAGTACTTGATGTTTTACAAACCTCCTAAAATATTTAAAACATAGTTCGACTACCATTTTCTCTACTCCATTGACCATTCCTCAATGCAAAGAAATACAAAAAGAATACTGCCAAAGATTAATTGCCAAATAAGTAATTTTCTTTTCCATTTCCGGTTGAATAGCTGTTTCCAAGGAGACTCTGCAGTAAGGGATTTGTTGAATAACTGAACAATTCAAATATTTTAGATAGCCAGATGAAATTTCAGAAAAGCTCTTCATTAAAAAAGAAAAAACTTCATTAATATCAGTATTGAGGACCACTCGTGATACATACTTATTAGATAAAGAAAATCATGATATAGATTTTCTTAAGTGTAATTATATTTTAACAGCAAAGATGCTTCCCCCAGGGTATAAATAATTTCATTGTTATTTTTACAATGAAAGTGATTTATAATCATTGTAGAAAGTTAAGCAAAAACAGCAAAGAAGAAATAGGCATTATCAAAAACAATGCCATCTCACAGAACTTTCTGCAACAATGGAAATGTTCTGTATCTGTGCTGTACACTGTGCAGTATGGTAGCCTCTAGACATACATGGCTACTGAGCATTTGACACATGGCTAGTGCAATTGAGGAACTGAAATTTTAAATTTTCTTTAATTGTAGTTCCTTAGAAAGTAAAGCTAAATACAGTTGACTCTTGAACAACACAGTTTGAACTGCACAGGTCCACTTATACTCAGATCTTTTTCAACCAAACACAAATGGAAAATACAGTGTTTGTGATGTGAAATGGCCTTTACAGAAGGCCCATTTTTCATATAGGTGGCTCTGCAGGGCCAACTGCCAGACGTAAATATGCATAGGCTTTGGCGTATTTGGTTTTTGTTTTTAGCATATGGGGTTTTCAGGGGTCCTGAAACCAATCGCCGCACTTCCCTCCCAACCCCAGTATACGGAATGACAACTCTGGCCACATAGGGAATTGAAGCAGTGGACTGTATAAAATCTAAAATTGCATCACCCAGCATGACCATCATCAGCATATTCATGTAAAATCTCCACTTTTAACTAACTTGTAGCCTGCTTTCTCAACTTTTTAAGCTTAAAAATATGTCAAAAACATCTTTTCATTTCTTTAAATATAAATATACGTCCTTCTTTTAATGGTTGCCTAGTCCTAAAGTGTATGATTATATTCTCATGAGTGATTGCTGTTAAGGACAAAACTGTGATAAATGATCTTGGATGTATTTGCAGTACACTTGCCCAGTTATTTCTTTAATGTAAATCCAGCAGGGAGTAAGAGCAAGGCATTTTAAAATGTTTTCTTTAAGCCAAGTTCACATTACATAAACCTTAACCACAAAGGTTAAATTGAATAACAAGAAAGCAAAGAGCCTTATTCCATGAAAAGGCAAATACTTCAGGTAACATGGAGTTTGGACCATCACAGAGTCCACATTAAGTGTTCAGTATAATTTCAGTGGCCCAGGTGGGGAAGATTGAAGCAGTGAGTTTTTGGCTATGGGGAAACTAAAATAGGAGAGAAAGAAAGGATAAGATAATCAGCTTTTTTGGATTCCAGGGGGAAAAGTTTTCCTGGTTTCACTCTGCCAGAAGGCTAGCTTTTTTTCTCACCTTAATATCAGGGTTTCCTGAGAGATTATTGAATAACTTTCAAGCCATATCAACCTGACTTAAACCACAGAGAGAACAAAGTAGTGCAGTTCAGCTGAAATATGGAAGCTGATTCCCAAAGAAGAGAAGTAAGCCCACAAATCAGGCCACTAGCCAAAAGGAAGAAATTTGAGGAAGGGAGGAGGCGCACAGGGCTAAAGAGTGAGGACAGCCAGCTCAAGCAGAAGAATTCTCTTAACTCCAGTGACGTATGAAAAGCTCAGAGACGCTAATAAAGTCATGTACTTAACTTGTTAGGCTAAACAAACAAACCCTAATAAGTTCCTAGTTAGGAAATATTAATAATCAAACTAGCTGAATATGTAGCTACGGTGTTTAGTATATTTGAAATTGATTGTCTTGCTTTATTTAAATGCTCAAAATATTTAGTGATTATTTTTAAGCTTGTTAAGTCTCTCTTATAGAAATAGTATCTAAAGATTTAATAACTGCCTTGTAGAAAAAATTATGGAACCTAGATATGCTAATGGCTATTTGTTTATAATATAGATTCTCAGTATGTCATACGTATATTTCTGTTTGGATCTATGCTGCTTTTCTTTTCAGGCAGGAGAAGGAGCAGAAGGAGTTAATACCTGAACAGATATAATTGGAGCTGCATCAAATACACATAGAAAAAAAAGTATACATGAATGTACTCTTTTAAAATAGTCTTTCTTTTTAAAACCCCATTTAAAAAAAAAAAAACAACTAGCCAATCTAATCACGTTTGTTCTGATGAAAAATTGACTTCCTTTTCTGACCTTCATTTATAGTGAGTACTCCAGTAAAGTTTAAACGAGCAAGAAATGGTCACCAAATCATGAATTTCACAAATCTGATAGGCTAAATTTCTTAAAATGTTTGTATGCAATGTGAATAAGACAGGTGTCTTATTCAAGAAAAGCAAATAGTCATTCAAAGTAAAATGTATGCTACTTCCTAAATTGGGCATATCATTTGCTATGA